GCACGCGCGCCTGTGTGCGGTAGGCCCTATCGTAGAGGTAATAGACCCAACTGCTACTATGAGCCAAATACTGTTTAAATGAATTTAATGCTACTTTTCAGTCATGCTAGCAGCTGCTTGCGGTCCTAAAACAACATAATTATATAGAGTCTATATAATAGACTAGTAATACTGCTACACGCATGACATTTAATACAGAGGAAGTCCTAGAAAGTCTGAGTTTGTGATTTAGAGAAATAATATGGATCTCAATCTGTGCCTGTGCATTCATTTTCTCGACAGAAGAAACACTCCACTCGTTTAGAGAGGTACGCGCAACTTACTTCAGCAGCCCTCAAAAGGAGGTCATCTGCTGAAGGTTCTTTGGCCCCACCCTCCAAACAAACCAAGCTGTGGGAGACTCGAAGAGTGTCCCAGGCAAGTGTGGATAAAGTAGTCCTCGAATTCGTTGTCCAAGGCTTGCACCCACCACCCATTGTTCAGCAGCAGGGCTTCATTGATCTACTGCAACATCTTCAGCCAAATACAAATGTCATGACACGCAATACTCTTGTAAACAAAGTCACAAAGGCCTCTGTTGAAATGAAAACAAAACTGAAAGCTGCCCTTAGTGAAATAGAGTTCATAGCAACAACAACAGACTGCTGGACGGCACACCGTCGCAGTTTCATTGGTGTCACTGCACACTGGTTTAACCCCCAGACCATGCAGAGATCCTGTGCTGCCCTGGCATGCAAGCAACTTAAAGGGTCCCATACCTTTTCTGCCCTGGCTGGTGCCCTAAATGATATTCACACAGAATTCAATGTCAGAGAGAAGATCGTTCGCACTACAACTGACAACGGATCTAACTTCCTGAAAGCCTTCAGAGTTTATGGGCAGATGGACGAGAAGAACGACAATCCTGCATCTGTTGGAGAGGGTGATGGAGAAGAGGATGATGGTGGCCAAAATGATGATTACGATGAAGAAGAGGAAAGCGTTGAGGGTGTTGAATTTGTTGATGCCGGAGCCCTGTTGGACAAAGATGACTACTTGGAATACCAGCTACCCAAACACCATCGCTGCGCATGCCACCTCCTCAATTTGGTGTCCACAGTTGATGCTTCAAAAGCAGAGGTCAACCCATTGTACAAGCGTGTGTCAAGGTCCACATTTGCCAAATGCTCTAGCCTTTGGACCAAAAGTTCAAGATCAATCACTGCATCTGAAGTAATTGAAGAGCACTGTAAACTCCAACTCATAAGGCCTGTTGCTACAAGGTGGAATTCATTCTTCTCAGCCGTAGAAAGAATAGTGAGAATAACAAGAGAACAAGGTGAAGGAGCCCTTGCAGCTGTCTGCAGTGAACTAGATACACCTAAGTAAGTGCTTGTTTTTCTGCCTTTCTGTTAATGAAGTGATTATTAACAATAGATTAAGTCATAGTTTTATACTTTGAATAATGTAGAACACATCTATGCACTATGCCAATATACAGTTCCCATATTTACTATATATGTGATTTGTAGAAACACAATTACAGTTCTAAATTTCTTAGTCTCAGATGACAATATTTTTCCTTTTTACTTATCAGTTCCTCCAGTTAAAGGTGCTACATCAAGAAGGCTAAATGTTCCATGTTTTCTTCTTTATACAGGTTTACTCCAGTGGAACTTGGATTCCTTGCAGAATATGTGAAGACAATGAGCCCAGTTGCAAGGGCACTGGATGTTCTTCAGGGAGAAACCAGTGTGCAGATGGGATGGTTGGTCCCCACCATAACTCTACTAAAGACCAAGCTCCAGCACCTTCACAGCGCCTCCAGGTTCTGTGAACCTTTGATTGCTGCACTTCTTTCAGGCCTTGAAAAACGCTTTGGCGAGATGCTTGCAGATCCAGAGCTGATAGCTGCAGCCATTCTAGTTCCTAAATTTAGGACCTGCTGGACAAGTGATGAAAATATCCTCAAAGTTGGTAAGTGTATAATTTCTAAACTTCCCCTAATTTCTATGGAGACAGTGAAATGAGGTTGAAATCACATTTAATGACACACACACACACGCTATCACACAATTACAATACTGCCATATGGTCTAAATTGTCCTGATTTTTGTTTTTTATTCCACAGGCCTTGACTATATCAGAGGCCACTTGGAGTGTCGGTCCGAGTATCACATCACTGAAGGCTCCCAATCATCTGAGGAAGACTCCTTGAAGAAGACCGGCCCTCTTGAAACGACCCAGCAGTTGGATACGTACCTGGGGTGCCCAGGAGACACAGTAGAGGTACTGAAGTCCTTCCCAGCTGTGTTCCAGCTATCACTTAAGCTTAATACGGCACTCCCTGCCTCAGCAGCCTGTGAAAGACTGTTTAGTGTTGCAGGTCTCATCTTCAGGCCAAGAAGGGCAAGCATTGGCTCAAAGAACTTTGAGAATCAGCTGCTTTTGCGGCTTAACAAAGGTTATTGGTAATTCTTTGTTGCATGTTCTGCACTTAACTGATGTAGATCCTGAGTACAAAATGTTTGTTAGATAGATTTGAGCATAGTACATACTATCAGGAAGGTATTAGGATTGAGTTATTTATTTTTTAATAAATCACTTGGATTAATCATTCATTTTGACAGCACATGTTTATTGTGTATTGACAACCATACAAGGGTAATTGTTACTAATCCTGCCCTGGTACACCAATTTTCTCATCCATTGCCCTCACAGATTCCTACAGCTAAGCTTGGATGTACATTTACATTAATGTATAGGTTATTGATGACGTGACTCTGATTTTTGACTTTTGCACCATTAGAATACTTATACGTAACTAACTAGTCATCATATCTTCTGCTCCATGAAACACATGTTAATGCTCAGGAGTACACATATATTCTTTATCTTTAATGTATTTGCATTGTACTAAAATGCATTTATTTTCAATGGGCATATATGTGACTGAAATGGTAGCCTAGTGCATCTTACATTTTTCAATATTAACATTTTAATATAACATTTGTCATTACGGCCTTTAGAAAAAAATTTTTTTGAGGAGGTGGGGTATGGCACAATATGGTCCGTATGACGTAAGCTTTTGCCATTTTCCTTACATTACTTCTACTTTTATACTTTAAGTAGTTTTAAAACCAGTACTTTTGTACTTTTAAGTGAGTAAAAAGCTTGAGTTGATACTTCAACTTGTACAAAAGTCTTTTTAAACGCTAGTATTTATACTTCTACTTGAGTAATGAATGTGAATACTTTTGACACCTCTGATTAGGTTGAAATCACATTTAATGACACACACACACACGCTATCACACAATTACAATACTGCCATATGGTCTAAATTGTCCTGATTTTTGTTTTTTATTCCACAGGCCTTGACTATATCAGAGGCCACTTGGACTGTCGGGCCGAGTATCACATCACTGAAGGCTCCCAATCATCTGAGGAAGAGGACTTCTTCTCCTCCTTGAAGAAGACCGGCCCTCTTGAAACGGCCCAGCAGTTGGATACGTACCTGGGGTGCCCAGGAGACACAGTAGAGGTACTGAAGTCCTTCCCAGCTGTGTTCCAGCTATCACTTAAGCTTAATACGGCACTCCCTGCCTCAGCAGCCTGTGAAAGACTGTTTAGTGTTGCAGGTCTCATCTTCAGGCCAAGAAGGGCAAGCATTGGCTCAAAGAACTTTGAGAATCAGCTGCTTTTGCGGCTTAACAAAGGTTATTGGTAATTCTTTGTTGCATGTTCTGCACTTAACTGATGTAGATCCTGAGTACAAAATGTTTGTTAGATAGATTTGAGCATAGTACATACTATCAGGAAGGTATTAGGATTGAGTTATTTATTTTTTAATAAATCACTTGGATTAATCATTCATTTTGACAGCACATGTTTATTGTGTATTGACAACCATACAAGGGTAATTGTTACTAATCCTGCCCTGGTACACCAATTTTCTCATCCATTGCCCTCACAGATTCCTACAGCTAAGCTTGGATGTACATTTACATTAATGTATAGGTTATTGATGACGTGACTCTGATTTTTGACTTTTGCACCATTAGAATACTTATACGTAACTAACTAGTCATCATATCTTCTGCTCCATGAAACACATGTTAATGCTCAGGAGTACACATATATTCTTTATCTTTAATGTATTTGCATTGTACTAAAATGCATTTATTTTCAATGGGCATATATGTGACTGAAATGGTAGCCTAGTGCATCTTACATTTTTCAATATTAACATTTTAATATAACATTTGTCATTACGGCCTTTAGAAAAATATTTTTTTGAGGAGGTGGGGTATGGCACAATATGGTCCGTATGACGTAAGCTTTTGGCATTTTCCTTACATTACTTCTACTTTTATACTTTAAGTAGTTTTAAAACCAGTACTTTTATACTTTTACTTGAGTAAAAAGCTTGAGTTGATACTTCAACTTGTACAAAAGTCTTTTTAAACGCTAGTATTTATACTTCTACTTGAGTAATGAATGTGAATACTTTTGACACCTCTGGTTAGAACATAAGATGAGATAGATACGATAAGACAATCCTTTACTGTCATTGTAACACGTACAATGAAATTTTAGAGTGACCTCCAGTCAGTACAGCAATAGGAAAAAAAAACATATATGAAATAAGACCATATAAAAAGGTTAACTGCTAGAAAAACAAAATAAACTACATACCTCTCCCCCCCCTCCTTATGCAGGTATATTATATTTTAGCAGTACTGAATGTGGTAACTGCTGTTGAGTAAAAGCTATTCTTGAATCCAGTGGTCCTTGTCTTGATTGACTGCAGCAATTCAAAGAGTGAGCGTCCTGGGTGTTCTGGGTTTTTTGAGGCAGCAGTGAAGACAGGGCAGCCAATGATTTCCTGGGCCGTATTAATGACCCACTGGAGCGTTTTCCTCTGAGCCACTGTGCTGCTGTTGTACCATACACATATACAGTATGTAAGGATGCTCTCAATGGAGCACCGATAGAAGGACACCAGCAGTCTCTGGGAGATGTTGTTCTTCCTGAGCACTCGTAGGAAGTACAGTCTCTGCTGGGCCTTTTTAAGGAGTTTAGAAGTATTCACACCACAAGTCAGATCCTCCTCAATATGGACTCCCAGAAAGCGGAACACCCTCTCCACAGGGTTCCCGCTGATACAGTATATAGTGGCAAGATGTCGGTTCCCTTCCTCCTGAAGTCAATGATGACCTCCTTAGTCTTTGAGGTATTAAGGAGCAGATTGTTCTCTCTGCACCACACTGTCAGCCTCTCCACCTCATCCCTGTAGGCAGTCTGAGCCCCACCACCGTGGTGTCATCAGTAAATTTTACAATGATGCTGCCGTGGTGGGTGGGGGTACAGTCGTGGGTGTACAGGGTGTAGAGCAGGGGGCTCAGCACACAGCCTTGTGGGTAACCAGTGCTGAGGCTGAGAGCCATAGATGTGTTTGGGCCCACTCTCACCCTCTGGCTGCATCAAGACAGGAAGCTCTTAATCCTTATGCAGGTGCACTATGGAATTCCCAGGTCCACCAGCTTGTCCACCAGTTTGTGGGGGAGGATGGTGTTGAATGCAGAGCTGTAATTCATAAAGAGCGTAGCTCTCCTAATGCTCCAAGTGGGACAGCGCAGCATGGAGGGCTGTGGCTGCGGCGCCCTCGGTGGATCTATTTGCCCTGTGTGCAAACTGGTGTGGGTCAGATGTTGGTGGGAGGAATGACAATGTTTCCCCGTACCAGTTTCTCAAAACACTTCATCACCACTGGAGTGAATGCAATTGGCCAGTAGTCATTGAGGCTGGTTATGTTGGGTTTCTTAGGCAGGGGAACTAGGATGGAGGACTTCAGGCAGGGTGGGCCAGTGGACTGGGCCAGAGGCTAGATGAAGATCCCGGTTGAAGACTCCAGCCAGCTCGTCCGCGCAGTCCTTCAGCACATGTCCGGGGACGCTGTCCGGTCCAGCAGCCCTCCTCGGGTTTATGGCCCACAGTGTGCACCTCACCTCATGCTCCCCTACTGTGAGGGTGGGGCCGCTGTGGGCTGCAGGGTGCAGTTTGTCTGTGTCTGGTTGCTGCCTCTCAAAGCAGGAAAAATGGAGGTTGAGCTCCTCTGCCAGCAGTGTAAAACATCCCAGTTGGTCCTATCAAAACAGTCCTGTAGCTGCTGAGAGGCACCATCAGGCAAAGTTTTTACAGTCCTTGCCAGGTCTAAATAATCTGTTAACCTGTTGTTGAGTTCATGGTATAGTATAGGCTCAAATGAGGAGAAAAAATGTGATTAAGCTAATGAAACTAATGCTGTAGTCTTTTAGCCTATATTATTGGCATAAAAATGTATGGTTTAAAGTACATTGTTATTTTTGTTAAATTTAATTCACAATCTTTTTCGTTTAGTAATTAACTGAATTGACAGGTCACATACATTTTTTTGTATTAATAAAAACCAGGTGTGGTCCAAGTGTAAATAATTGATTCTAATTTTTGTGTAAAAATCTGTTTGGTGAACCTGTTAAAACGTAGCCATCTCCAACACTTATGATGTAGCTGCCAAATCTGCTGAAGAACTGAAGAGGACAACTTGAACCACCTTAATGAAGCTATGCACTGGCAGAGGAAAAGAAAAGATGTCATCAGTAGCATGTCTGATTACATCCTCTGCAGGCCAGCGAGAGATTTTGCAGTGACAAATACGACACTAGAAAGGTTTAGGCAAGTCCCAGTTTGTGAGAAATTGGTAAATGTATCATTGGTGTTTTCAGATCTTAGAGAACAATCTCTCATTGGTGAGTATTGCATGTGTGAGATTGTTCATTTTACTCTTGGGTACCATTTTTGTGAATGGCACAAATGAAGCAGAACAAGTACTGTCCATTATATTACACAAAATGGAGGGAGTCCATTTTGCTAATGATCAACTCTAACAAGCAACTATTTATGTACAGGTGGCATTAATCGAGTTCCAGCAATTTAATACAAATGCATGCAATTCTCCAATGTGGCACTCTTGTACTTAAGTGAATCCTCACTTTAAAAAGTTTACGGTAAGCATATGGAAATGTTTTCAAACGAGGATTAATGAAAGTGCATATGGTGTACTTGAACACTCTTAAATTCCATACTGCAGCAGGATGTTGTATAGTTAGAGCAGCAGGCTAATGACTGGAAAGTTGTTATGGCTCGTGGACTGAAGGGAGAAATCTGCAAAGAGGCCAACCAGTGATAGTTCTGGAAAGCTCAATGGAGTTCATCTGTGTATGCAAGCAGGATTTCAGTACACTGAAGCATGCAGTATTTAAGTACAGCTGTTAATGCACGGGGTATAATGTAAACAAGTGTTTCCCAGCTGTTTTAGTCTGTGGCTCCTTTGGTCACTATCACACCTGTAGTTCTGTTATGATACGTTGCTTCCTTTTAGTTCTGGTCTGGTTTCTGTTTACAGTGGTTCATGGTTTAGCCAATAACTGTCAGATTATGGGAAGATCTAAACTCCAGTCACACTTGCAGTATGTTGAACAGCTTTTTTTATAACACCAACACATTTTGGCTTGTGGCCTTCATCAAGGTCTTTGTCAGGTTTTGAGCATTATTAGTTGAGGTTACATCTCTACTTCATTTTATGAAGAGACAGTTCCTGCATGGTGCGCCCCCTTTAGGAACTTGGGCTCAATGAGCTCGATACTCAGTACAGTCAAAGTTTCTTCTGGTTGGGATCTTGTGATTTATTCAGAACAGTAAATCTGTTTCCAGTGCACTTTCTCACATTTTGCTTTTATGGATACACTAAGTTTAATTTCAGCCAAGTGAAATTACTTTTTTTTTGCTGCACTTTTTTTTTTCTAATTTCTGGGTTTTCCAGTATGATTTCTATGTGCAAACTGAAAATGCACATAAAAACAAAACCCAGGTCTTCTCTACTACTGGCTCTTTAGCATTAGGGAAACATTTGCCCAACCATTTCTGCTTTAGCTCATCTTTACATGACTGACACTGTTACTGATGTGCCATTCTATCAGGGCCAACCCAAGTCAGTCACCAGATGGGTGTTTTCATCCTGCACCTCACTGGGGATGCTGAGGGAAATTGAACAGCTTTGTGGCACTAATGTGGATGCTGATGACCTCCCCTTACACTATGTTCACCTTCTGTGGCCAGCGGTCTGTCAAAAGTACCCCATTTGCATGAAATCTACAGAGCTATGTCGCATTCCACCCAAAGAGGGTGAGAGAGGCTCAGCATATTTGTTGTGAGTCAGAGGTCTCTGGCAGGATAGAACAGGAGATGATCCTGCCAACACAGACACTATTGAAGTGTTGTTTAGAGGAGCAGTTGAATCCTCCATACCTTCTTCTTTTCAAGATGCATTAAAATTTGTTGTCTTTTGCTTTGTGGTCAGCTCATATTATTCATCACATTGATAATAAATTAGAACAACAGGAGCAAGAACAAAAAGACCTGGTTAGTCTGTTAGAAATTAATAATTCAGTCAGATAATTATAGACAATGTCTTTTAATGTGTTATTAATGCAGTTAGTAATATTTGAAGTCTGCTCTGGTGTGATCCCCCAGTTTGGGGTACCTGAGGTTATCAGATCTGATAATGGAACACACTTCTCAAATGATGATCTACATCTGGTTGAACAAATGTTTGGGATAAAACACAAGTTTGGGGCTGTCTATCATGTGGCCTCTCAAGGGCTTGTTGAGTGTGCAAACAGAACCATAAAAGAAGGGCTCGCGAAAGTCTGTGCAGACACTAACTTAACCTGGGTTGAAGCTCTACCTATTGTATTGTTCAACCTCAGATCCACTCCGAATGCGACACTCAATGTAAGCCGACATGAAATCCTGACAGGGAGGAAGATGCCCTGTCCTCTAACTGTTCAAAGGTCAAAGGCCAAAGTGTTTATTTGTCATATGCACAGTTAGGAAATGTGTTTCCCTCTAACTTTTATGCCTAGAGATTCAACACCTCTTCTTTTGCAGCATGCTGACATGAGTGAGTATGTCAGACGACTGAACAACTCCGTGATGAGTGTCTCTGAACAGGTTATTGAAATCCTGTGCAGGGACCAACCTGAGGAACCAACACCAGTTGCAGTGGACAGCTGGGTCTATCGAAAGGTGCATAAACTTCACTGGTCAGAGCCACATTGGAAAGGACCTTACAAGGTAGCAGAAACTACCACACACTGTGTTAAACTGTGGCTCACTGAGAACAAGGTCAGTGACTGGATCCATAAGACACATTGTTCTCCAGCAGAAGATCCAGCTGGATGGACAGTGAATGAGATCAGGGATGATTTAAGAACCTCGGTACCTGAGTTGAGATGATATACAATCCTGCAGAACCAGAGCCACAGTTAGAAGAGGACCTACGCTAGAGCAATATCTATCAGAGAACAAGAAACGTTGACAGGGACAGCAGACAAAATGCCTAGTCTAACAAGTTTAGGCAATTGTCCTGGTGTACTTCTCTGTATTCTGGGCCTCATTAGCCTAGTTATAGTG